GAACCGCCCCCCCGGCCCCTTGCCACCCTGTCTAGATGAGGGTACGGGTATCTTTCGCGCTCGAGAGAAGTAGTAGTGGTCGAAATATGTATGTAAGGCTAATCGTAGCAATCGGAAGTGTAGTGACAAGAACCGTAATGGAAGTAGTGGTAGTAGTAACTGTAGTAGCCGTCGTAGTTGTAGTCGCAGTTGCATTCGTAGTCGCAGCAGTAGTAGTAGTAGTAGTAGTAGCAGCAGCAGCAGCAGCAGCAGCAGCAGCAGCAGCAGTAGTAGTAGTAGTAGTAGTAATAGTAGTAGTAGTAGTAGTAGTAGTAGTAGTAGTAGTAGCAGTAGCAGTAGCAGTAATAGTAGTAGTCGTAGTCGTAGTCGTAGTAGTAGTAATAGTAGTAGTAGTAGTAGCAGTAGTAGTAAAAGTAGTAGTAGTGGTAGTAGTAGTAGTAGTAGTAGTAGTAGTAGTAGTAATAGTAGTAGTAGTAGTAGTAGTAGTAGTAGTAGTAGTAGTAGTAGTAGTAGTAGTAGTAGTAGTAGTAGTAGTAGTAGTAGTAGTAGTAGTAGTAGTAGTAGTAGTAGTAGTAGTAGTAGTAGTAGTAGTAGTAGTAGTAGTAGTAGTAGTAGTAGTAGTAGTAGTAGTAGTAGTAGTTTTACGAATAATCGTAAAACGAATAAATTAGCGGTAGTAATAATAGTAGTAGTCGCAGTAGTAATAGTAGTGGTACGAATACTACGAGTAACGATTGTAAAAGAAAATATAATCGTCGTAAAAGTACAGTGGTAGTAGCAGCCGGAAGATGATCGTACTTTCCCGGCGGTCACGAAGATCGGCCTGGCCGCCCCTATCCTCAGACCAGCTCGGCTTTGGCCCGGGATAGTCGCCTCTCAGGTGGAAAGGAGGGTTGCTTCGTATTTGAAGCGCTCTGTTAAGATGCTCTAGTTGTAAGTCGGGCATGTCCTCCTACAGGCGGATTTTGGACGACAAAATTAAAACTAAGCAAAAATAATCAAACATGGCAAACATAACAACACATCGTCCCCAGACTATGTTTTGACTACTTTTGAATATTCCTCCTGTACAGGGACAGGCCCGACTGAAGTCTAATTAAACGCCGCGGCTTTGAGGAGCCGGGAAGAGAGACAGACAGACGGACGGACGAATAGCTTTGCGACGTGCAGTGCCTGGCACACCAAGTGAGTAGTCAGTGCAGAAGGGGAACACGACCAGAGAGAAGCAGTACGCACCCTGACCGCAACGCCGACGACGCCGACGAAGACCGAGACGAAGCCGCACAGAAACGCGAAGTTTGGACAAATATCGGGCTCCGCCCAAAAGGGGGGGCGTGACCCTGAGGGGGGGCATGAGATCGAACCGCTAGTGCACCGAACTGCCGAAAACATTCCCAGCCTCCAGCTCGGGGAAACATCGTGGACCTCCTCGCCGGAGGCGGCCCCCCCTGGTGGTGTTGGAGTCGCATCACCCCCTTCCGATATCGCCGATAGATCGGCGATGGGGCCCAAGGGCGAATCGGGACGCTCCTGGACGGGGCGGTCGATCGGGCCCAATCATCGATCCATGGGCGATTGCGGATCCAAGCGGGACCCCCGTGAGCCCACCACCCTTCTAGTGGGCCCCGGAAAGGGCAGGGCAGCTTTTCCACCGCTCTCGAAGAGCGTCTCTTGAAAATGGGAACGGTACAAAACTGGCGACCACAACCGCTAACGAAAACTTCTGCAAAACTGGAACCGCGGGACCAGAACTGGAACAAAAAAAAGGCGACGGAACCGGCAACAAAAACAGCGACGGAACCGCAAAACAAATTGCGAACAGAACTGATAAAGAAACGGCCCTGTCGTTTCCAGGGCCCACTAAGGATCCCAACTCTTCGGCGAGCGAGGAGGGGAAGTGAGAAAGAGAAGGCCCTCTCAGAAGGCGGCGGGACTTCTCAGAAACCCTCGCGCCTTCTGAGGAATGTTGTCTTCGGGGAAGACTCAGGAGGCCAGGAAACTTCCGAGCCTTCTGAAAAGGCCTTCTCCTTCTCACTTCCCCCCCTCGCTCGCCACCGACCGCATCGCCGATGCATCGGCGATGCAGCGCGATCATCCGATCCCACCTACCCCGACCCCATCTAGGATACCTGGATCGGCGGTGGACAAACCTCCCTTTAGTAAACCTCCCCTTAATGAAACCGGCCTGGGACCGAAACCGACGGACCTGGACCCGCAAAAATGACGGCCGCGACGCCCTCTCGCGAACCGAAAACGGCCAATTCCTTAATCGACGTGTCAGGGTAGGAGGTCTATCCACCTCCGACTGGAACTAAGGAGCCCAACGCCCACGATCGTGGTCCTCTGATTGTTGGACGCCCGATGTGGGTACGGACAAAACTGGATACAATGCCCAACAGCATGTGTTGTCCAAACAGCAGCTGCCGCTGGGCACCACCAACAGCGGCCGCTGTCGGGCAGGCTGCTCTTCGTCTGCAGTGAACGACGTCCGCGGCGGCGCGGCCAGCGAGGCCCTTTCAAAATGATTAAAAACTGCTGTTGTGCATCGTACCCATCCTTCCCGTACCTTTCGGGCCCGGTGTGCATCGTACCTTGTGCATCGTACCTTGTGCATCGTACGTCAATCGACCCGATGATCCGGGGCCCAACTCGGGCCCCCGGCGGCCCTCCTGGGCGATCCACGCAGGCAGCTCAGGGAGCGCCCCCTCGGCGAGGCGCGAGGATTCTTCGAAGGGCTTCGGGCGGGCTTTGGAAGGGCTCTCGTCGCTCGGGAGGGGAACTAGTCCCTAGCGAACCCTGGGCTTTCCAACACGAGCGTGGTCCCTTGATCTTCGGGTCACAGCTCGGGACCCCGTCGGGGGCGGTCAAGAGGGGGGCGTCCAAGAGGGGGGGCGCAAATCATGGCCCGCGGCATGTGCGCGGCCCAGTGGGGGGCCAGGGACGTAATGGAATGAGAAGAGGCGCCATGAAATCTGAGGAAGCATCATGGCCCCCGCCATGATATCCACAAACCCCTAGTCATCACCCCCCCCCCTCTTGGCTTGGCCGCCCCCCGACCCCAGCGGCCCTCCTGGGCGATCTGGGCAGCTCCAGGAGAGCGCCCCCCCAAGGCGAGGCTTTTGCAGGCTGCTGGAGAGCGCGCACACCTTTCGCGGCTCTGGGAGCCCCGCCGGAGAGCCCTCGCAGACGCCCAGGGGAGCGTTTTTTTATGATTCGGCGTTTCGATATTTGGGGCGGATAGGGTTAGGTCGGGCCTGTCCCCCTACAAGGGGATTTTGGACGAAAAATCCCAAATAGTCCAAAAAGTAGGCAAAGGATGCCCAAAAATACTCCAAACACTGTCCCCTGGCTATTTTTCACTATTTTTGAACATTCCCCCGTAGATGGACAGACCCGACATGAGGACAGGGGGGGAGGGTGGGCAGGAGAGTCCAAACTCGAATCGGCAAGTCGGATCGGCGATCGAGAAAAATGAATCGGATCGGCGGAAAGCGGCAGCCACGTCGGGAGAAGTCGGATCGGCAGAAATCGGCAGGCTAGTAGGCCTCCATTGGTCCATTGAGGAATCGGAACGCACATCGGAGTCTGAAGCCGAATCCAATCGGAATTGGAAGCCATCGAAATCGAATCGAATCGAATCGGAAGAATCGAAACGAGCCCTGGGGTGTAGTCTGGCTGCCGAGCTCTGCTTGATGCGACTGTTTGCAGCAGTGCGTTCTACGGGGGAGACTCCACCTGCTCGAAACAGGCGCCACAAACATCCGAAGATCTACTTCGTGGGGGAGCGGGAAGGGGGGGTACGAGGGCCCGCGCCGATCGGCAAAACAATGAACAAGAAAGAGAAGACCATGAACCTCGAACCTCGTACTCTGAGACGAGACATCCGATGTCTTGATGTTTCCAATGCGGGGCCCCCGGAAGTCCCCACCCCTTCCCCAAGGCCGGTGTTTCAGCCCCGCGTCCTGGCGACGGCCTCCCTAACGGCAGAAAGTTGTAAAAAACTACAGTCGCACACTTTCGCGCCACCGAAAGCGCCCGAGCACCTCGGACTTTCGAGGCCTCCTAGATGGGGTCGCAGTAGAGGGGGTCGGAGGATCGCGCCGCATCTCCGATGCATCGGCGATGCATCGCTGATGCACCACTGATGCACCGGCGGTGCATCGCCGACACCGGCGATGATTCGGCGACGTCGACGTGCAGCAAATCGGGCCCCACATCGAGCCGCATCGGGGATGCATCGGCCATGCAGCGCGATCATCCGATCCCATCTACTCCGAGCCCATTTATTGAGCAGGGACCGACCGTCCCGACATTTCGAGAGGCCTACCACGAAATGCTCTTGGAACCAAAACGTGTTCTCATAACACAAACCATATCCTTACAACATAAAGCAGATGTATGAACCCACGACGGTCTCAGCGAGAAATTCCCCTAGAACATGCATCGTGCAGATCATAAGAAGGTCTTAGACAGCCTTTGGTTGGCCTCGAGACAGACCAGGACGCCTCGACGCTACTTGAAGACTGAGCCTGTGGTTTATTATTCGCAATAACGGGCCTGATCGCGGGATGGGGGTCTTTCGGGTCGAGTCTTCGTCCCTCCGATCACATCTCGGCGGGAGGCCGCCGGAAATCCCAGGACATTCTCGAAGAATCCGCAGGACAAAGCTTTGCAAATGTGGGCGACACTGGGATGAGATCCGCAGGTGGGGAGGGCAGGGAGGCAGAGGTCCGATTACGGCCGCTATCGCCACGAACCTTTTGCATCCTTTATAAAACAATATCTACACACATAAGACAACTAGGAAACAAAAGACACTCTATCTCTATATAGATGTAGCATATTCACATGTATATTTAGGAATATACATCTGGGAACGTGCATCTCATATATCTAAGAATAGGTATCTAGAAGGATGACTCAGACAAAACAATAAGACAACTAGGTCTGCACCCCACACACCTATATTTATATATATATGTATAAGAAACAACTCCTGGGAGACCTACAAACTTGCCGCCGCCGCCCCATCCAAGGCCTGCTCTGGGAAGGCGCCGCCCCAGCCGCCGCCGGGGACCTCCTCCTCACCGCGCGGACGCGGAGGGGCGCTGCGGCTCGCCGCCGCGGCCAGCGCCTCGGCCTCTCGCGGGGGGCCGGCGCGTGGTGCGGGCGCCGCCAGCTTCCCAGAGGCCTCCTCAATGGGGTCGGAGTAGATCGGCGATGCATCGGCGATGTGTTGGCGATGCATCGGCAGTGCACCAGCGATGCACCGTCGACGCGGGCGATGAACCGGCGTCGTTGCCGTGAAGCAAATCCCGGGCTCCCCGACGAGCCGCATCGGCGATGCTTCGGTGATGCGGCGAGATCCTCCGGCCCCATCCACCCCGAGCCCATCTGGGAGGCCTAGACCCCCCCGCGCGCGTCACGGAGGGGGGAGGCAGAATCGGCGGCGAGCGAGAGGGGAAAGTGGGAAGGAGAGGGCCTCCTCGAAGGTGGCGGGACTCCTCAGGGGCCCTCGCGCCTTCTGAGCAATATGTTTTTTGTCTTCGGGGAGGGCTGAGAAAACTTCTCGGCAAGCCCGGGGACTTCCGAGCCGTCTGAGAAGGCCCGCCCCTTCTCGCTTTCCCCCCCCTCGCTCGCCGCCGAAGCAAGCCAGGACGAAGATCAAATCGGGTAAGGACAAATCGAGACTCTCTGAGATTCGGCGGCCCTGCATGATGTATCGGGCGTCCGGAGCGCTCCGAGAGCGCTCCGGAACGCTCGGGGACGGATCGATCCTCGTCCCAGCACCGTCCGAAGAGGGCCGAGAAGATGCCCCGCGAGCCACGAGATGCGGGCTGACGTATGAGCAACGCATCCTTAATCGGGCGTTGGCAGAACTGGGTTTGGTGGGGCCTGGTTTAGTGATTTGTACTGGGGGAAGCCCCCCCCCGCCCCGTTCCACTAACCAGAACTGCCATCACCCGAAGAACACCAGTCACAGCAGATCTGGTTCAGTGATCCTGCTCGATTTGATGGATCTGGGGCCCTACTGCGAACAGGGTCCCCTTACCTGGGGTCCTAGCTATCCTCGACCAAGACAAAAGAATATGCACAAATAAAAACAGGCGCAAAGAACTACAAGCAAATGAATAGACACGCGAAACAAAGAAAGAGGTACAAAGCCCAGGGGCACACATAAATACATAGAAACATAATAACCGGATTCCCCAGGAGTTCTGGAGTTTCGCCTTCCCCCCCACACACACTTCCTATATGTTCCAATTTTTCTAAGGGGTCAACGAGTCATTGTGCCTGCGTTTTCCCTTTAATCGAAAAATCAGGAGACGTCTACCGAGAAAGGTGACGACCGAAATCACCCCCCGAACACGCCCAGAAACCTTGAACATCAAACCTGCCCTCGGCGGCGAGCGAGGAGGGGAAGCGAAAGCGAGATAGCCTTCTCACAGGGCGGCGGGACTTCTCGGAAGCTCCCCAGCCTTCTGAGAAGTGCTCGGTGCCCTCGGGGGAAGGTTTCGAAAACTCCTCAGAAGGCCGAGGGGGAGGAGGGGGAGGAGGAGCAGGAGGAGGAGGAGGAAGGGGAGGAGGAGGAGGAGGAGGAGGAGGAGAGGGGGAGGAGGGGGAGGAGGGGAACGAGGAAGAGGAGGAGGGCTCGCCGTCGATACTCGCCCCAGGAGCCTTGTCACTCCCCCCCCACCGCTGCCCCTGCGGCCCCCCCCCCGAGCCTCGCCCTCCGGCGGCGCCCCTCCCGGCGCCCTTCCCAGCGCCGTTGCCCGCCGCCCCTCGCCCGGCGCTGGCCTGGCGGCGCGGCGAGGCGGCAACGAGTGCGTCCTCCGCCGCCGTCGCGCCGCCGTCGCCGCACAGATGCCGCCGCCGTTGTCGGCGCGAGGCCACCGCCGCCGCCGCTGCCGCCGTCGCAGTGAGCGCAGTCGCAGTGCGCGGCGGCCGCCGCCGCCCTTGGCGCCGTCGCCGTCGCCGCCGTCGCCGTTGCAAGCGTCGCTGCGTACATCTCCGTCGCCGCGGGCGTCGCTGACGACGGCGTGCTCTGCCGAGGATGGGGTGGGGCGTCGACGACGACGACGGCTGGCGGCGACGACGACGGATGCGGCGGCAGCTGCGGCGGCGGCGACGACAGCGACAGCCGAGGCAACGGGGGCGGCGGTGGCGACGACCGCAACGGCCGAGGCCGTCGCAGCCTGGGTCTTGGAGCTGGACATGGGCTTGAACTCGGCGCGGCCACGGCCGAGGGGCTTGCGCGGGGACCTGGGCCGGCGGGGCGGGTCTGCGCGCTGCCCCGCGACGGGGAGCAGAAGCTGCAGGGCGGAGGGAGACGGACAGCTTCTCATCGATGTCGGCACTCCCCTTTGTAGACGCCCGAAATGGGTACGGACGAAAATGGGTACAGTGCCCAACAGCACATGCTGTCCCAAGCCAACAGCGGCCGCTGTCGGGCAGGCGGCCTTCTGCCTGAAACGGGCACAGGCCGCGGCGGCGCGGACGGCGAATCCCGTTCAACATGAACAGGAACTGCTGTTGGGCACTGTACCCGTTCTTTCCGCACCCGTTTCGTTCGTGCCGACCCTTGGCCACCTGACACCGCGGCACTCCGACCCGCGATGCGCAACGCACCGTGGTCTTCGCGGCCTCGCTCCGCCGCCCAGGCTCAGGAGGAGGAGGAGGAGGAGGAGGAGGAGGAGGAGGGGCAGGAGGGGCAGGAGGGGGGAGGAGGAGGAGGAGGAGGAGGAGGAGGAGGAGGAGGAGAAGGAGGAGCAAGAGAGGAGGAGGAGGAGGAGGAGGAGGAGGAGGAGGAGGAGGAGGAGAGCCTCTCCAGGAGAGGGGCGCCTTTTGCGCCTCAGGCAAGGGCGCGCGAGGCGGAGGCATCGTCGCGCCTTTCCACAAGGGGCCGCGGAGGGCCCCGAGGTCGTCCCCACGGAAACTTGGGGAAGAGAGCGAGGTCGCTGGAGAACGACGACGCGAAAGCGTCGGCTACGTTCGGCCTCTGGGGAGCATCGAGGGGCCCCAGAGCTGTCGAAAATTACTCGGGGCGAGAACCTGATCCCAAGGAGGGACAGTGGCTCCAGGGTCCGGCGTTGTTAGAAACATACTCGGCGTGGAGATCCCCATCATACATACATGTATGTATAAATATGTAAATGAATTTAGATATGTGCACAGATTTACGTGTATAGAAATATGAGTCTGTGAATGTATACATACTACAAATACGCATATAGCTAAACCTATGTATATACACCGCAACAGCGTTCATCGATGGAGGAACAAGCGAACGTGACTGGGACTGAATGATCTTAAAATTGCAATGCCTCGATCATCGCGCAAGGGGGGGGGCAGAGCCCACAATTGGGAGGCCAAAGTGCCGTGACTGCCACATCGCGGCGTTTACCAGACGGCGGCGCACAATGCCCCCCCCAGACGCCCCGAATTGGCATTGAAGGCGCGACGCTGAAGGGGGCTTGGGCTAAGCGGAAGCCCCCGAACGCCCGAATCATTACCCATACCGAAAACAGGAATGCTTTCGGCGGCGGGGCGCTGGGCAGAATCCACCTCAAGTGTGCAGGGGGTTCGAATGCAGGGTCCATCGACACGGACACGAGGCAACGAGAAGAGGCATGCCTGTCGGGCCAGAGCGGGCGTTGCGCCGAAGAGGCCTCGGCACTCGGGAGCGCGAGCGAGCCCGCGGAACACCCCCGGTCGTCGGCCCTGTGGGAGGGACCATGTGCCATGCCTGCTGCATCGCGGTGATCACGGGGCTCTGCGACCAGATCGTATCTGAGGCATGCCGGTGCTGCGCAGACACTAGTATGCCAGCACAGCAGCGACCTGGCGTGTCTAGGGGAGCAAAAAGTGGCATTAATATAAAAGCTCGGAGGTCCGCGCGGATTTCTCGGATTCGCGCTGGACGCGCCAGGGAGGGGGGCCAGAGGCGCCGCCGGGGGGGCCCCCGCGCCCATCCGAGAAATCCGCGCGGACCTCTGAGTTGTTTATGTTTATGTCACTTTTTGTTCCCCTAGACACGCCAGGTCGCTGCTGTGCTGGCATACTGGCCGGGCCTGCCGCAGGCAGCTGGATCTCGTGAGCGCTCGCCTGTGTCCCGAGGTGCACCACCTCCGCACGCATCGCAATCGGAATGGCTGCCACACGCATGGTGAATTGAGCGGTGGAGCGCCCAGCCCTGGGGCAAGGGCTCCTCGAATAGACTTGTGACGTGTACTGGTGCCGCGAAGTTGCTGCGCTGTGCGGTTGGCAACCGAGCTGGCCCGAGTGGTTCTGGTGGGCATTACCCACTGCACTCGCTGTGCCCACCAATAATGTTCCCTGCATGATCGCTGCAATCGGGATCGTGATCGGTTGCCGTGCTTGCACACTGGAGGCGTGCAGGAGTGTCTTCGGGCTGTCTGATGCTGGTGGTTATTGTTGTTTTTCAATGGGCGCGCCCCCAAACCTCAAGGCAGGCGTATCCAAGAGCGCATCCCCCCTCTGCGACGATCCACAATTGGCCCAAGAGGGCTGCAAGACGACTCCCAGGAAGCATGAGGCGGTCCAACCCGAAATCAAGATGGACCAACCCATATCCTGAGAGGCCCCTACGTATGGAGGCCCGCGAGATCCCCAAAGGGCGCCGAGACATACCTTGAGCATCCTTGACCAAGGCTGCTGGAAGCCGAACACGATTGAAAATAACTGATTAATGTTAAGTCGGGCCTGTCCTCCTACAGGGGGATTTGGGGCGAAAAAGTAAAAACATCTTTAAAAACCCAAACATCGTCGGACAAAAAAAACTGGTCCCCAGATCATATGTTGACTATTATTGAATACTCCTCCTGTAGAGGGACTGGCATGACTTAAGATTAATGCTGACCTGCGTTCGGAGCATTCTGGACGCCCCAAGCAAGCCCCCAGGCAGCACGGGGAACCCACCAAGACGGCCAGGGCCCAAGACTCGAGAAGGGGATCCACTACAGAATTGATTTGCCCCTGAAAGGATTTGTCTTGTCGAATCCACGGGCAATTCGTAGAACTTTCGCAAATCTACGACTGGTTGACGTACGTTTGTTGAAACGCCGACGTGAAAAACAATGTTGGGGTAAATCCATTATGTAGTCTCGGGAGCAGCCAAAAGGGGGGTGTCCAAGAGGGGGAGTGCAAATCATGACCGGCGGCATGTGCGCGGCCCAGCGGGGGGGGCCAGGGACGCAATGAAACAAGAAGAGGCGCCATGAAATCTGGGGAAACATCATGGCCCACGCCATGATATCCACCCCCCCCCAGTCATCACCCCCCTCCTTTTCCGCCCCCGATGGTCGATCCCCTAGACGGAGGACGGCCCCGGGATCCGCCAGGTCGTCCCCGGAGAACTCGGCGTGAGGAGGAGGAGGAGGAGGAGGAGGAGGAGGAGGAGGAGGAGGAGGAGGAGGAGGAGGAGGGAGGAGGAGGAGGAGGAGGAGGAGGAGGAGGAGGAGGAGGAGGAGGAGGAGGAGGAGGAGGAGGAGGAGGAGGAGGAGGAGGAGGAGGAGGAGGGGAGGAGGAGGGGGGAGGAGGAGAGGAGGAGGGGAGGAGGAGGAGGAGGAGGAGGAGGAGGAGGAGGAAGAGGAGTAGGAGGAGGAGGAGGAGGAGGAGTTTTGGGCGCCTCACGTGCACCTAAAACTCCCGGGCGGGCCTCGGGCAGGCGGGCACCCAGGCCCCCCGAGAGGACCACGGAGCGGCCCAGGCCCTGCCGCGGTGTGATCCAGGTGCCGCCGGGCATCCACGAATGGGGCCCTGGGGCACACAGAAAGAAAGACACACAAATGACAGGATTCCCATAATTTCCCATGTTTTCTGGGCTTTTGTCTTCCCCCCCGCTTCCCATATTTGCCCGTATTTTCCTGGGAGTCGACGATTCATGGTGTCCGTGTGCTTCCTCCCCTCCTGAATCGAGAGAGAGGCGGGGGGCTGGAAGGAGAAGGATGCGGAAGGAGGAACACAACAGGGGGAGAGCGAAACTGCGGACAGACGGGGTGCGCAAGACCCGCGCCAGATCAGGCGGGGCACAAAGCTGGAGCGAGCCGTGCAAGCCAAGCCTCGCCCTCGCGGCGCTGCTGCCCTGGCATGGTGTCGTGGGGCTTTGCCGCAGGCGGCCGGATGGGTGGGCCGGGAGCGTGCAGTGCCGCCTGGGCCCCAAGGCACGGCTCCTCTGCAACACTGCCGCGAGAAGTTCCCCTGGTGAGCAGGACATGCCATCACTCATCGGTCGGAAGAAGTAGGTAGAAACATGAAGCGGGAAGGCGCTGAAAGCAAATTGGGTTCCGTCCGCCCCCTGAGGAGGACGGACAAGATTGGGCCACTCGATCATTGAAGTAGGAAGGCGCTTAAAGCAGATTGAAAACTGGACAGCAAAAAATACAGTGCGGGCGCGGCCGCAAAAAAAACCTTCACAAGAAACCCAACCCTGAAAACCCGCGCGCGAGGTGAAAACCTGAGCATCCTGAACGCAGCAGCTTCGTCGACGGCTGCGGGAAGTCACCGCGTGGCGCGCGGAGCGAAGAAACCCAGGGCACCTCGACGAAAAGCAGATGGCTTCTTGTTGCGCGCCCCCACTGCACCTGCTTTCAAACGAAGGATGGGTACGCCTCCCTGACAGGCCTGAAGCTAAAGTGCCTACAGTCGGACTCGATTGGACAGGACACGCGAGAAGACACGAGACCCTTTCGAGGGCCACATTGTCACAGGAAGGTAGGAAGTATGGGTCGCGAGACACAGGACACAAGGGTACCCTTGACTTGGCAGGGTCGAATTACTAATCTGGGCCGACTGTACGACGCCGTCATCTCGCACGGCGCGGTCCCCCCCAGAGCTCTCGAGACCCTCTCGGCGGGGCATCTGCTTCGTCGCCGCTGCCCCTCTGCACGCCACTCGGCCGCGGCTCCCCAGCGGCCAGAGCCATCGGCAGATGCTTGACCGGGTCTCAACCCGATGCTCGCCCAACACCAAAATGCCTGGACCCCTCCAGGACGCCGCAGCGATAACCTTGTCGACGTGGCCGGCCCCTACATTTCCTCTAGTGCGGCCCTCCGCCCACTTACATGCCCCCTGCCTTTACATCTCCCTATTACATTTCTGCCCCATTACATTTCTGCCCTATTACATCTCTACATCTCCCCTGCCCTACGACATTTCTCTATTGCAGCCTTTCGCCCATCTCCCCTGCACCAGCCTGGTCGCAAAACCTGGCACTCCATAACTCGGCATGCCCTGATACAATA